ACTAGTTTCAGTCACATAAGATTCGTACATAAGTACACATTGATTTGTATAGTCATTCTTCTTTGTCGTTGACAATAGAGTGTCACACTACTTTTATGTCACCGATTATTGATGAATTGGATTAACGGTACATAAAATTGATTTTAATAAAATTGAGTTTAATAAAATTGATTTTATTAAAATTGAATTTAGTATAATTTATTTATATAAAAATGAGTTGAACAATAAATTTTAATTTAAAAATCATTCTGAATCAATTCTAGAAAAAAAACTATAAATTCTAACTTCAAATAGAATCAATTTTAAAGGCATAATTAATTCTATTTTTATTTAATCAAACCTTTTAAAATCATCCAAAATCAATTCTAATATTTTAAAATTGTTTTTGACGAAAGTTAAATCAAACATGCACAGTTACTTTCTTTTTTTTTTAACTCAGGAATTACTGGTTAGTAGAAGTAGTATTAAACAATACTCTAATCACACCCGCATATCACGCCATTTGAACAAAAAATTATTTATTCACCAACTTTGAGTTCTGTTAATTGTACCGACCTACCAAGAATTGAAAAAAGAAAGCTTGTTATATACATGAATTAATTTAGAAAACACTAAAAACAATTATAATTACATCTCTCAGACTGTGAGTAGAGTACAATTCAATTTAATTTCCTTTAAAAATGACTGTATTTAATTACACTAAACCAAAGAAAAGTGAATATTAGAAATCCCTCTAAATTTACTTTCGTAAAAGAAATAGAAAAGAATGATATTATGATATTATTCTTGCATTTCAAGATGATGAAGGCAGAGCCAAAAATGAATTCACACAACATGTGAATGTATTTGGAATTGGAAAGTGATTTACACGGGGCTCGACAATTCAGTCACTTTAATTATTGCATTTTACAATTTACAAAAAAATAAACAGATTTTTGAATTTCCAAGTTTATCCCTCCTTTTGCACAGTGTAGCCAGAGCAAGCATTCTCCATAAGTAGCCCCACACACACACTCGTCCCACCACAAATCTCTCTCTGAGTTTCTCTGCTTTTTTCTTTCTCCATTGTCGGAAAGAAACTAAACCAAACAAAAAACAGGAATGGGTACCATGAATCATGCCGTGTACATTGCATCTCTTATAATCTCATTAACAATGTGGACGGTAGAATCTAGAATCCCAGGTGTTTACAACGGTGGTGCATGGGAAACCGCTCACGCTACTTTCTACGGTGGTTCAGATGCTTCCGGCACCATGGGTATGTTAATGTTATATTATACCATAATCTTTTAACACAACACAACAACGTTGTACTATGTTTCTAACTAATTTTTTAATTTTTAATTAATAATTAATCAACATTCTTGTTACTATTTAGGAGGAGCGTGTGGTTATGGAAACCTATACAGCCAAGGTTACGGCGTCAACACTGCAGCACTAAGCACAGCACTTTTCAACAGCGGACTCAGTTGCGGTTCTTGCTTCGAACTAAAATGCGCAAACGACAAGCAGTGGTGTCACTCCGGCAGCCCTTCCATTTTCATCACCGCCACAAACTTCTGTCCTCCCAACTTCGCACAAGCCAGCGACAACGGCGGTTGGTGTAACCCTCCTCGTCCTCACTTCGACCTCGCCATGCCTATGTTCCTCAAAATCGCCGAATACCGCGCCGGGATTGTCCCCGTCGCTTATCGGAGGGTTCCGTGCAGGAAGAGCGGTGGAATTCGGTTCACGATTAACGGATTCCGTTACTTTAACTTGGTGCTAATCAGCAACGTCGCGGGTGCAGGGGATATTGTGAGGACCTATGTTAAAGGAACGAGAACTGGGTGGATGCCGATGAGTAGAAACTGGGGGCAAAACTGGCAATCAAATTCTGTTTTGGTGGGTCAGGCTTTGTCTTTTAGAGTTACCGCTAGTGACCGTCGCACTTCCACTTCATGGAACATTGCTCCACAGAATTGGCAATTTGGTCAAACTTTCACCGGGAAGAATTTCCGTGTTTGATGAGTAGAGGTTACCGGTTACCCAATGTTACCGGTTAAAGTTCACATTGTTATTTTATTTTTCAATATATGATGTGACAAAAGTCCTACAATGGTTTGTTTTGTTTTTCCACCAATTGTGTATTTGGCGCGCATTTTTACAGTAGATTGGTGCTTTTTTGACTGGAGGTTTTGGAGACTGTGACGGACTCAGGGGGAAGGGTTATTATAGAGATGTGTGTAGTGAGACTTTTTTGTGAGTTTTTTCTTTTTTTGTTGTATTGGGGGTGGGAAGGTTGTGCTTTTTTAATTGTATGAAAAAAGAAGAGATTAAGGTAGAGTTATATGGAGAGGATTAAAAAAAAGTGTAGGAAAAATGCTGAAGTGGCTAAGCAAAAAATGGTAGTAGCCCGCAGCGAATTAGTTATACAATTTATATATTGCTGTAACATCTACAATGTAACCTGGAAGTGTGTTTTTGTTATGAAAGTTTAAATTGGGAAATTTGTTCTATTGGTTGTTCTTGCACTTTTACCATTTGGCTGGGAATGTAGTGTTAGAAAAAAACTAAATATCTATCAATCTTGATACAATATAAAATTGATATTATCACACAATAACTGTGAATTTAAAAAAAATAAAATAATTATTTTATGCAGAATTTTTCTTCTGTCCACAAATTTATTTGTAATTGTAAATACAATATTACAAAAATATGAGTTATTTTATCTATTTATAGATTTAGATCTAATCAAATCTAAATGTAAATCTAAAACTTAATCAAATCTGCGTGTAGCTTGTTTCGATACACAAATTTTTCGACTGGACAATAGTTTCCATCGAGCAACCTGCTTTGACAATCTATAACCTTTCGACACATAATTTCGACATTATAAATTATAATTTAACATGTAGTTGTAAAATATTCGCAGAAGCTGTATTTCTAAGTAATTTGCTTTGGTATGAATCCTAATTCCCTTCAACTACAACAACTACCACACAAATTTATGGATGCAATTCAAACAAATAACTTGGATTACCTACAAACATTTTGAAAAGTTAAAATAGTAATAACTGCATCCAACCCAGTTAGGTGTTGTAGGTAACAAGTATTACTTTTAACATGAGTATTGGTAAATGAGTATTTATTTTATTTCAACTCAATCCTAGTAAAAATTCTAGTGAAAATCTATTTTATAAAATCAATTTAACATGTATCTTGGAGTACAAATTAACATATGATCTATATTTGCTACACGGTTAGAAATCTAACCTGAGAGCATCAGGTCCATCCAAAAGTGTACAAAGATTTACTTTACAAGAAGCCTAAATGCGTACACTATTCATAAATCTAAACTAACTCAAAATATGGACATAAATTGCAGCATTTGAAATACTACTGTGCAGAATTCTAACTTTGCTATATTTCGCACTTAATGTCTAAATGCATTAATAAATTAATGATTAACAATTTCACTGAACTATGTGTAAAAGAGCTTTATAAACAAACGCTCATGTCCTATTTACAAAATGTGGGAGTTAATAAACCTTTGTCTATTCTTCAAGGTATCAGCTTCAACTCCAGAAATAATTTTATATTGGATTTGAGTGGAAAAACTATCGGTGCTTACTTAACTAGTTTTTTTAGATCTTATGTAGGATTTCAAAGAGGCCATGGCAGTCTACCCTGACTTGAGTAACATAAGGTATAACTATAACTATTATGAAAAATTTGGAGTTACTAGCTCAAGATATTGTAGCTGCTAATTAGTAGAAGAAAGGTTGAGGTTTATCACAAGGCTGGAGCGCATAGTAGTCTCGCCTAGCTTGGCAGAAGCAATCTGCGCTAGCATCCCATCAAATCAAGAAGTTAATCCTTGTTTATTTGGAATTTTCTGCATTTCGCTCATCAAATGCATCTGTTTAGACCAACAACTCATCATACACACTTCCACAACAACTTCTGAAGTTCTTGATATATTACAAAAGTTCAATGTGGGACAATGACTGAGGGACGTATCTATGTTAGTAATCTTCAGTAAGCAAACAGAAACTAGTGTAATACTAACATCATACACAATATCATTATAATGTTTACCAAATTAAATTGGCAGCATCTTCAAGTCTCACTGAAAATTACATCAAAATTAAGGAATCTTTAAACACACTCTAAGGGATCAAAATGAAAGAATACGAGGTTAAACATTAACCAACCAACACATACACATACTTGGGTAAATTTAAAAAACAAACATCATTAAACACATGAAAATCAGAAACTTTTAATCTCATCACAACAATCACTCTCTTTTATTAAATTTGCTTTTCTTCCCTTTGATATCCTTGATATGTTGTGTATTCCTTCGGCACACCACAGGACAATCACTCTACTTTTTTATCCTCCATGTATGATTAATATTAATACCCAGTTGATGTTATTAATCAAGCGTTAATACTATAAAAGTAACTAAACAAAAAAATGAAAGGCCTAACTAAAAATATATGCTAAAACAACTGTGGTAATCCTTAGTTATGGCATCTGAAGGAATATAACTGCAAGAGAATAATGGGACTGAGCACAAAAGGCCAAAATATAATAAGTAGATTCTTTATTCCTCATTGAACCTAATAACTCCTTGGGCATTCAGATTGTAAGTTAATTCTCTTATGGAGTAAAATGCATGGCAAATATTGTGATGTATCACTAACAGAAAACAATGAAATTGAAATAACAGAAAAGAACCCGCAGGGAAATGAAAAGCTTCTCAAATACTAACTATCACTAATTCCCACATCGATTATTTTAGAACTAGATAAGAGTTTACAAAGCTTAAACATGTAAAGAAGGTTGCTTCAGTGGGATGGAATGATATGGTCCTTTGGGTGTTGATCTGATTCAAGATAAAAGTTTTAACACAACTAGATAAGGTAAGGGAGTCAAATGACCATTTGAATACACAGTAAACTTTTACTGCAAGTAAGTCTAATTTTAAGTCTTACTGCCCACATGAAGCCTCAAGCATTCTTTTGTTTTGACAACTTCCATTGCCTCATCAAATGGGCAACACCCTCTTTCAACGATGCCTTCCTTCCTTCCCTAAAATTCCAGAGTTCAGGTACTGGATATCTCCCACTAGGATTGTATTCATTTAGTTCCTTCAGAGCTGTAGCTACTGCATCATGCACCTCATCTCCGAGTTCATCTCTCAAACTTTTCAGTTTTTCATCATTTTCATCTAAAATTTCCTGCATAATATATCCAACATATATCTGATCATGGTCTTTGTAATTTGCATCATGAAAAGGAACATGCGAAAAAGTGGCAATGACTATGCAATCGGCAATTTTCCTTAAATAGATATATCGCTAAACAATACCACAATGTTGTCAATTGCGGAAAACAGAAAATAAAGGATTGTTAAAATCACACTAAGCAAATAGTGTTGTAGCACCACTGTAGCAGCTATTTGACAATATTTTGTACTAAATTAGAGTTGAAGTCACACGTTTGGGTTGTAGAATCATCCTAAAAATTGAGAGAGAAAAGATTAACTTTAACTTGAACAAACATAATTCTAGAAGTCATTATACCTTTGAATTCCCTTCTTTATCAGTTACAATTTTGAACGGATGCCAGCTTGGATCTCTAAGATAGTCCTCGCACTGTGAGCACCACTGAATTGCTTTCATTTTCCTTTCATCGGCAAGTTTTCTCTGAGCTGCTTTACCATTCCCTTTAGCCGGAAACTTTCTCTTGGATGCCTCCTCAAACGGCTTAATATCAAGGTCCCCCATCCTTCTCACAGAAATTATGACTCGAGAAGTGTTCTTTGGGCAGCCAATCCACTTTGAACAAGGAAATGTGATTACATGAACAAAACTAATCAGATTACAGAAATTCTGTTCTTTCATAGATCAATGTTAAATTTTTTGAGAAAGATGCTTACAAAACTAATCAGATTACAGAAATGCTGAGAAAGAAACATACACTGATTAATTTTTTGCGGGCATCTTGCAACTCGTCATTAGTTTTGCGCTCCTGAATAACCAATGTTTGTTGAAGATCTTCTACACCTTCCAGTTGCTCTTCCTTTTCACGCAGACTTATTTTGATCGCCTCCAGTTTTTTCTGCTCTTCCAGATCAGTCTCTCCAATGTGGTTCATTACATGGAAAGCTCCTCTCAGCCGTTCAATTTCCAATTCCAATGCTTGCTTTGCATCAAGTCCTCTCTCTAGGTCATGGATTTTTTTGTGAAGTTTGTCTTTCTCTTTCTGCAACCTCCAACCAAAAGAGTCCTCAAAACTACAGTGAATACATGTAACTTAATTAACTAATGCAGATAAAAGGAAAATGAAAGTTGTGCCTGATGTTCTTCAGCCAAACGCATCATTTTGTTGTCAGCCTTTTGTTGCTCTGCTATGGCCATCTCATTCTGTAAGTTGAAGAACAAATTTAATCAGTCTAAAGTTGTTAAAATAAGAAGGACTGGTGTACATGATTTGACTAAATCGTCGATATATTAAGGAATGATATCAGCACTTTTTATGATCGGTCCATTTTTTAAAGAGGTCAATTTAGTTCTCTTGTAAGTTGATCACTTTCAAAGAATTTTGTTAAAATTTTAAGAAATAGACCTATCAGAAAAGTGTGCTACAGAGAGTGTTTAAAAGAGTGAATTATCAGCATTGCTATCACAAATTGAAAGATCCAAAAGAATTACATTTTTCTTCTCAAGATATAGCTTATTTCTCTCATTATGATTATGTGCTTGACGCTTCTGCAGATTCTCTTCACGGGACAAAAGTTCCTTTCTCCTAGCCTCCAATTCCAGCATGGCTCTTTCATGATCCTTGGATACATTTTCCATATAGCTTCGTTCAACATTCCGCATCTTGCTTATTTCTAATGAAACAGAGGGAAACAGCCAAAATACATTAGACCTAAGCTTCATTTCTAAACATAGTTAAATAGAATATTGATATTAATTGAAACAATCCAGTGTAAGTATCAACATACCTTTGTTAAAGTGTTCAAGCATCTCCTCTTTTTGATTCATCACTTTGTTTAGGAACACATTAGCCTCATCATACTTGCTTGTCGTTTGTTCCAGTTCCTTGTTCTTCTGCTTCAGAGTGTTAGCCAAGCCAGATACAAGCTTCAAAGCTTTCCTATTATCCTCAGCTTCTTTTCCAGAAACAGTTTTCAAATCCCCATTTTCGCGGAGGTGTTTGCCCACAATATCCCTGGAATTATAGTCATCAGCACGTGCTATCCACCCAAAGAGTTTGTCTCCCCGCTCCCTGAAACCCACGTAATCTCTCTTACCACACTGTTCTGCTTCAAAGCTTCTTTCTAGCTGCAAAGCATTGTTGAAACCATCCCATTCTTTTCCAAATGCAACAATGACAAAGGGTGTTTGGCCTCTAATATTCCAAAGTGCAGTAACTTTCAGCGGCTGAAACCCTTTAGCATACAGCTCCTCCTTAATTTTCTTATGACTCTTTCCTATATACTTACGGCAGTTGGGGTCAAGTTTTGTGACATTGTTTGCCAGAACCACCATCCAAGGCCACACAAACAACTCATCTTCACCAGCATTCACATTCATATCAAGCGACTTATTTTCAGAAATTTTAGAGTCAAGATACCTTACAAGGGCAGAATGTTTAGCAATTTCTTTCACAGTGTCACCATGCACGTCACCAGCAATCCTTGAAGCATGTCTTAAAAGCTCGGTCAAAGAGTAATAATCCTTGTTGAAACAGAACGGACACCTGAATGTGGAGTCGGAGATTTCGAGTTTCTGATAATCATCTTTCAACTCAAGGAAATATCTCCGCTGGTAGTATTCCAAATCAGATTCAGATTTTCGGTACATCTGAAAACGAAAATAGCAAAATCAAGTTCAAAGAAAGAGCAACACGAAAATAACAAGATACAGTGATTTGATCATGAAGCTGAATCGAAGTAAAGGTAAAAAGGAAAATGCAACATTCATACCTGCAAACAATAATATAGTAAAATCAAGTTGAAAGAAAGAACAACAGAAAAATAAGTAAATACTAGAGTGAGTAAAAAGTAGATGATTGGATTATTAAGCTGAATCGAAGTTAAAGTAGATGAAATGCAAAAATGAAGAAGAAACGGAGTGTTACCTTGTGTGGTGGAAGAACGCTTTCCACAGAGAAGAATGAGCGAATGCTACCCTGAGGATGAACGAGGAAAGTTGAAGAAGAAGAAGAAGATGATGAAAGAAACCCTGAGAGAGAGAGAGTGTGTGATTTTTGGTATGAAGGAGTTTGTTATGAGAAATGCTCACACAGATCAGCACGCGGAGTGAGTGTGAGGATTGCAGCGCAAAAATCGTGCTGTGTTGCTTCAAACGTTCATAAACTCTTTTCTTTCGCGCCTGTACAAACAATTTTTGCAGTTATTACTGTGTTTCTATTTGCTAATTAGAATATGACACGTGGCAATACAAAATGCCGAAAACTAAATTTTATTTTATTTTGACTAAAAATATAAAAACAAAATAAAGTTTTTGGCATTTTGTATTGAAAATCGGTTATGAAGTAATTTTTTATTTGTTTATAGATTTAACTTAATGAAATTAGTTATAATGGAATTTTTTATTTGTTTATAGAATTTAATTGTAATCATAAACCTTAAATTTTTGTAGATGTTTAATTTTTTATTTAATTTTATATAAAATATTACTTATAAATGGTTGTGATTAGGGGTAAAAATAAGTTAGGTTGATTTATAGGGACCTATGGCTTAACCTATTTGAGTCATATAAGACCAAACTTATTTATTAAAAATGTCAAGTTTAAGCTTTTTTAAAAGCTTATTTAATTAAATAGGTCATATTTAGACTATTACAAAAATCTATGAAGCTTTATAAGCCGACATATATTTTTATATATTTTAAAAATAGTTTAAATAAGTTAGTCTATATATATATATATATATATATATATATATATATATATATATATATATATATATATATATATATATATATATATATATATATATATATATATATATATATATATATATATATATATATATATATATATATATATATATATATATATATATATATATATATATATATATATATATATATATATATAAAAGACTTCTTAAATAATATGAATTTATTGAAAATCTTAGTGAGAAACAAGTTTTTAAATAGGCTTTCAGGTCGATCATACTTTTAAAAAGACCAAACTAAAAAAATTAGCTTATAGTAGATCATATGTCAGAATTGGACATTGTAAGTTTATCAAAAGCCAGACTCAGGCCTTATAAAGTCCAGTCTAACCTAGTCTATTTTCATCCTTAGTTGCGATGCACTGAACGTGTAAAATATTTTACATTGACAATACATAATAATTAATCTCTTGATTTTATATTTCAATTTTTTATATGTGATTATAATAATGAATAATGCTGACTCTAATGTGATGTTTATTAATATAATTCGAAAATTCAGTCATCATTATTATTAAATGATATACGCTAATTTGTTAAATTAGTTTTTCAATTATCTCTTTTGTCCATGTATATAGGATAGTTATTTTGTTACTTGAGATGTAAGTAACTACATCCATATATAGAATAGAGTTTCTCTATGCCATGTATCACCAAATTCATAATAATGAAATACATATTTTTTTCTATAAACTCCTTTATGGTATCATAAGTGTAAAATCCAGAAGAATCACCATCTTTCTTCCTTTTACATTTGGCAAAGATTCAACCACAAATCTAGCTCTTGATCAATCCAGTTCATACTACATTCATTTCGCAGAAAACCTCGGTGCCATCTTCATTTCTCCGCCACTTTTCGAACACAATTATGAATCTTAGAGCCGATCTATGAAGCATGCACTCTTGAGCAAGAATAAAATAAAATTAATCAATGGCAAGATCACAACACCAAGTGAAGATGACCCATTGTTCAATACATGAGAACGTTCTAACAATATCGTTCTTGCATGAATTTCTGTGTCTTTTACACCAAATATAGCTCAAAGTACGATCAATATTGAGAATGCAACTCAACTTTGGACAAATCTTGCAAATCACTTCTACAAAGGTGATCATTTTTTAATCTCCGATTTATTGCAACAAGTACACTCTATTCATCAAGGTGACAAGATTGTGACAACCTACTTCAATGAATTCAAGACCTTTTGGCAAGATTTGGAATCTTTACGATCTCTCCCTGCATGTACTTGTGGTGCAAGTATCCATACCAAGAAACAAAGAGAAATGGAGTATGTCATATGTTTCTTGAAAGGATTGAATGACAATTTTAACAATGTCAAGAGCAATATTGTCATGACTGATCCTTTTCCTGATGTTACAAAAACTTTCTCCTCAGTTCTTCAATAAGAACGACAATTGAGCAATTCTATCTCTCATGGTCCTGCCAAAATCTTGTTCAGCATTACCAATAATGCACCCAACAATGACAAGTTTCAGCAGAGGCAAGTCAAGGGTTGTGGTAAACCAAACTTTCAAGGCAAAGGCCTCTTCAATTTTAAAGTTTGCTCTTTCTATGAAAAAACTGGACATACCTTGGAATCTTGCTACTTTAAACATGGTTTTCCTCTAAGATTCAAATTCAAAGAAAAAATTAGTTCCACCAACAATATAGAAAGCTGCGAAGATGATTCATACCAACCTGCACAACTCAATGGTGATCAAGACGCAAAAATGGATATCACACCTGCCATGTACAATAAGCTTATGGCCTTGCTAAGAAAACGTGAAGATTCAAGCTCACCTACTCCTCACATTATCAATACATCCTTCTCAAGTTTGAACTATTCTCTTATTTATAATCAGTCGGATACACGTGCGTTCGCACGGGTACTAGAGTGGTACACACACTTTTATTTTCAAAATGTAATAAAAATGTAAATCAGAAAAACAAATTTGTATTACCAAAAAAGTTCAATAATTTTAAAAGAAAGAAATATTTTAAAAAATAAAATAAAATTATTTTACCAAAATTGTTTTACATTAATAATATATATTTTAATTTTCCATATATTATTTTAAAAATATTGTATATTAAATTAAAAATAATTCCAAAATAAAAATATTAGTAACATAAATAATTACAAAATAACATGTGTTGCATGTATCGTATCAGTACCAGTGTGTTCACACAGATATTGGTGTGGTATGTTAAGTTGTCGTCAATCATCTACAATTTTGAAGAAATAAGTCATTGTGATGAAATAAATAAAAATCAAATAATTTATTAATTATTCCTAACCAAAATAATTTATTCTTTTTAAAAGAGATAATAAATTTGTTTCTATAATTTCTTCCGTATATAAATATATTTGAATTAACAATATAATTATTTCTTTAAATAAATATTTTTGTATTGGAATTATTTATAAAAAATATTTAAATCAATAGTAATTTTGTTCTTTTATTATTCAATATTTAAATTAATAGCTTAATATCACTATCATATGCGCGTACCAATCAATACTCGTGTGTTCAAACATGACTGGAGTGGTATATACGATTTTTGTATGGTTACCCGTACGTTCGTACGGATATTGGTGTGGTATACACGCTTTTATTTTCAAAATGTGATAAAAATGTAAAAAAGAAAAACAAAATTGTTTTACTAAAATATTTTATTATTTATAGGGTTAAATAAGTTTTTGGTCCCTCTAAACATATCAAATTCTGTCTTTAGTCCCTCTAAAATTTTTCTTCAAAGAATCGTCCTTCTAAAAACTTAAATTTTAACTTTTGGTCCCTCCTAACAAAATCGTAGTTAAAATGGTCTCTAATTCAGTCGCTAAATAAAAACCGTCGCTAAACCGTAGGAGGGACCAAAAGTTAAAATTTAATTTTTTAGGAGGACTATTCTTTGAAGAAAATTTTTAGAGGGATTAAAAACGAAATTTGAGATATTTAGAGAGACCAAAAATTTATTTAACCCTTATTTATAAAAAGAAAGACATATTTATAAAAGAAAGACATATTTTTAAAAGAAAAACAAAATTATTTTACAAAAACTTATTTTACATTAATAATATATATTTCATTTTTCCGTACATATGTTGTATCTTAAATTAAAACTAATTTCAAAATAAAAATATTAGTAACATAAATAATTAAAAAACAATTCATTTTTTCCGTATTTGGATTCATTTAAAATATATTTACTTTTATTTTCTTTAAATGTATCTAAAATATCGGAACCCGTGTGTTTGCACGGATTTTAGTCTGGATACTGACTCTCGCACGGGCACTAGTTCGTTACTTACGCTTTTATTTTCAAAGTATAATAAAATTGTAAAAAAGAAAAGGCTAAATTACAATTTTGATCCCCCTATTTTGTCCAACTCACGAAATTAGTCTCGCTATTTATTTTTTAAACAATTTTGATTCCCATGTCCAATTTTAATAAAAAAACGTTGTTGTGTACTATTTTTTAGATATGCGGCATATTTTTATTGACTTTGAATAAGAAAGATTAATTATTTATTGCATTTTCGATGTTGTTTTCTTCCTTCTGTCATCTTCTCTGATCGTCTTCATCTTCTTTTTTTCTTAGCTTGTTCGTTCATCTTCTTCCCTCTCCCAAAAATATTCTCTATTTTCTCTCTCATTCAGAAAGTATGTCACGTATACAAAAAATAAAACATCAATGTTTTTTTGGACGAAAATGAACACGGGGATCAAAACTGATGTTAAAGTGAGGTTCATAGCGAGAGCAAGTAAAGTAGGTGAGTTGAATGAATGGATACATGACCCTCTCAGGTGAGAGGGTATTTATAGACAACAATCTTATATACAAGACAACTTTTATTGATAAGCAGCGGAATATAC